CGCACTCCGGGCAGCTGTAGCCCTTGCGAGGGCCCGGCTCTCCCGGCGGTGCCTCGCGCTGGGGTGGACCCCGGGGCTCCTCCTCCAACTGCACCGTATACGTGTAGGGGACCCCGTTGGCGTCGATGAGCAGGTGGCGTCCCAGCCGCGGGGGTCGGGGCCCTGCGGCCGAGGAAGGAGTGGAGGAAGGGCCTTCCGTCTTGGGGAAAGGGGGAGCCTTGGGGGGCGGTGGGTCCATGGCCTCCGGGGAGGAGGACCGAGGGTGGGGTGGCCGCGGCGGCAGCAGCAGCATCTGGAGCGGCAGCTGGGAGCGGCGGAAGGGGACAGAAGTTAAAATCACCCCTTCCTAGGGAAGGTCTCCCCATTCTCACTGCTTATTATCCCCCCTGTACCATTGACCTGCGTCCCCTACAGAAAACAGACTGCTTCCAGGCCAGCCCGCTCTACTTCCATCAAGCAGCTTTGGAGGCTCCTACAGCTGAGCTCAGCATCGCCCAGCTCCAACTGGCCTTTCTCTGGGGTCCTCCTCTTCCCCAAGCCAGACTGAAGGGCATCGTCCGGCCGCTTCCCTTCTCCCCACTCTCCAACAGCCAGTCAGCTCTCAGGTGTGTTTCCCCTCTTCACGTATTCATGCCTCTTTCATCCCACCCAGGGCCCTTGCCTCCGGAATTTCTTTAATGGGTCGCTTCCTCTTCTCCCCAGCCCCAGCTCAGGTTGCATCTTCTCCCCGCCAGGACCACCGCAGCAGCCTCTTTCTTTGGTCTCCAAGCCCTCCTAGATCTCTGTCCCCACTAGGTTCCCTGGAAGGCTTCCCATCTCAAGATACGCCCGCCGCCTCTCTTAATTTCCTCTCTAGGTACATCCCCAGAGCCCCACTAACCCAATTCCCCACTTTTCACACAGGGCGTCTCTATCCTGTGCCTATACTTAGCACCTCAAGGTTTCAGCATCTTCTCCCACTATCTAACCAATCCTCGAAATTTCAGGTGTGCACACCAAGGACGCCTCAACTGCCTGATTTCCATGTAGCCCACGGCCCATGAATCTTGCCACCTGCTAAGAGCCCCACCCAAGGGTCCCTCCCTCTCTCCAGTCCCAAAGTATAAGCCGCTGACTTCTTTACTATTTCTCTCTATACCCCTCAGGGGCCTCCTCCCACTCCCCGTGGCACACACCAGAGCCTCTGGAGTCTCTTTCCCAAACAACCTCTGCCAAGCCCCGTTCTCCCTCCTTTCTGTGCGCACCTGGCATCTTTAATTCTCCATCCCTATCCTCTATTCCGCTTCCTTCTCTACCCCAGGGCCCCTGAGCCCGTCTGCTCCTTCCCCGCTACACCCTCAGGACCGATTCGCTCCTGCATTCCCACCAGTCTGTCCCCGCCGCCCTGATCCCCCGAGCTCGTTCCCGGCCGTGCCCCAGCCCCCTCCCCCAAGCCCTGCCGGCCTCGCGTCGTCCCGGAGCCAGGC